GACTTGTGGACTGCTCATTCCACCTTGGAAAGCTTTGTTAGTTCTGACTTTCCTTTTCAGTGTTAATCTGAAAACTTGTAGCCTCCAGGGAGGCTCACACTGCCTCAGGTAACCATGCAGAATAAATCCAATCTGGCTAACAGCACAGGTGGATGAAAGAAGAATGGGCACATGTAAAACATTAAATCAGCCAGGGTTATCTTTTTCAAATATAAATGTAAACCTTTCAATTATTTCCCATTGCCCTTGAGATAAATTTGCAGAATGTGGTCTACAAGCCCCTGCAGAGTCTGCGCCCTCTGCAACATCCCCTCCCACTCGTTCTCTGCCACAAGGTGGGGAGTGGGGGACTCCTCCCAGCCTCAGAGACTTTGCTTAGGGTCTGTCCCTCTGCCCAGAACACGCTTTCTTCCACCTCCTAAGGACTTATCCTCCCGGACACTTCCTCAGACATTCCCTGATGGTACCAGACCAGATTAGATTCCCTTCTTAAACACTCTAAAAGCAGTCACACTTTTTCTTCGCAGCATGTATTCGATCTATATGTACTGAGGGTTTTCCTGAATCAGGCACTAGAGTAGAGAAAAGGAAAGGGGGGGGTCCCTATCCTTTTGAGTTTATAATCTTTTTGGGGGGGGGATTAAATTATCACAGAAACCAGTGTAAACACGTGGTGCCTGGAATGTGGATGGTAACAGGGGTATGTGTCAGTGACAGTATCTGAGGGTAGAGCTTTCTTAAAAGGGTGGGTGTTAGCTGAGTGAAGAAGAGTATTCCAGGCAAATCTCCAAGGAAGCATTAACCCTGTCTGTTTGGATCTGGCAAATTGGTAGGCTCACAGTAGAGACTGAATGGACGAGTGAACAAAAATCGACTTGCCCCAAAGCAGAGCTAGATTAGAATTCAGACCTCTCAATTCACAGCGCAGGGCTCTTCCCTTCCCCCCAGAGCTGCTCCAGGACTTTGGAGAGCATTCCTGAGTGAATGGGGAAAAGGGTTTGGTTAAATTATTCCTTTTCTTTTGCTTTTATTTCACAATCCATGGACCCAAACATAAAAAAAAAAAAAAGTCATCCTCAACACTTCTTCAACCTTTTTTTTTTAAAAAAAAAAAATTTCCAGATCTCGAGATTTCTTTTAAGATTATCGTACTGTATTAATACATGATGAGAAAAAACAGAAAATGTTGATTAAAAAACCCTCCCATGTGAAACACAAAATCCATTAAAGAAATACAAAGTCAGTTATTTTGGGAAAGGATAATAAATCACAGTGTCAGAAAGAAATCCATCTTCTGGAGCAAGACAACACATGTTACTGCTCTGGGATTTAAAAAGTTAAAAAGAAAGAAAAGCTCCTTTGTTAGCAGATTTAAGTTGTTATTTCAAATGGTCTCTGGGGTGATGATTTCAGAGCAAAGTATGGGGAATTTTAACAAATAACTGCTAGCATTAGCTGAGGAGGTTAGATGTCTGAATCAACGTAGGGCTAGTATATTTTCAAAGAGGACCCTGATATTATTAGGTTAGCATTAAATGGAAAATAAATAGTAAATATACCGAGCTGAAATTCTTTTGATTTTCTTTAACACGCAGTATTTCTGGCGTGTCTTGAACAACTGTAATTTTTCCTTTACTGTTTTTAAGGTCACACTGGTATTGAAGCTATGAAAAAAGAGCAAACATCTTGGTAAGATTTCAACATTGTTTTGTATATTGTATTGTCCTATATTGTGTAAAGGAAGTTAAAATCTTATATTTAAAAAAAAATTTCTACGCTACAATAATCATAGTCACATAGCCAACGGGAACTTCTTTAATAAGAATTTTGTGAAGAAACTAAATTTTTAAAGCCCTGAAACTAGTTTTTTTTAAAAAAAAAAAAAATATATATATATATATATATTTATTTATTTGGCTGCACCAGGTCTTAGTTGCGGCAAACTGGGATCTTTGTTGCTGCGTGCGGGATCTTTAGTTTCGGCATGTGAACTCTTAGTTGCGGCACGTGGGATCCAGTTCCCTGACCAGGGATCAAACCCAGGCCCCCGGCATTGGGAGCGTGGAGTCTTAGCCACTGGACCACCAGGGAAGCCTCCAACATTTAGAAAGGAAAACAAAAAAGGTTCTCTAACATTTCAGACACAGTTTTCATTCCAATACTTGGATTACTGGTGGAAATGCTTCAGTATGTCAACCTACTTGGGCAAATCCTATTCAGGAAATGTCTGCTCGGGCAAGGACTTTCCATTCCTTAAACCATGAAACAAATATTGACTGTATAATTATAGTGTATGTCCATACAAAAAGCTCAAAATGTTGACCATTGTTTCTTTGAAGATGGTAGAATTATGGATGATTTTTTAAAATTATAACTATCTGTATTTTCTAAGGCTGTAATTATTTTGTATTATTTGCATAATACAAACCTTTGAAAGCAAAAGATTTTAATTTATTTTTTTAGTTGAAGTATAGTTGATTTACAATGTTATGTTAGTTTCAGATGTACAGCACAGTGATTTAGTTATACATATATACATTCTTTTTCATATTGTTTTCCCTTACAGGTTATTACAAAATATTGAGTATAGTTTCCTGTGCTATACAGTAGGTCCTTGTTGGTTACCTATTTTACATATAGTAGTGTATATATGTTAATCCCATCCTCCTAATTTATCCCTCCACCCCAGCAAAAGCTTTTTTTTTTTTTTTTTCCTTGCGTTATGCGGGCCTCTCACTGTTGTGGCCTCTCCCATTTGCGGAGCACAGGCTCCGGATGCGCAGGCTCAGTGGCCATGGCTCACGGGCCCGGCCGCTCCGCGGCACGTGGGATCCTCCCGAAACGGGGCACGAACCCGCGTCTCCTGCATCGGCAGGCGGACTCTCAAGCACTGCGCCACCAGGGAAGCCCCCAGCAAAAGCTTTTTAAAGAAATATTTAATGGGGCTTCCCTGGTGGCGCAGTGGTTGAGAGTTCGCCTGCCGGTGCAGGGGGCATGGGTTTGTGCCCCAGTCCGGGAAGATCCCACATGCCGCGGAGCGGCTGGGGGCGTGGG